AGCAAGGCTCCCAAAGTTGATTTTCGCTGAACGATTGGAATCCTTTAGGGACCATTTCTTGGAAAAATCAACTTACAACTTTTTTCTTCATTTCAAGTAGAATGCATGGTGTGTATATTCATCCCACTAAGCCATGCCATTTAGGCATATTGTCCTTTAATGCAGCACTTGCTGGCAGGTCAGCTTAGGCCTATGCCCCCAAGTGCACCCTCAACTACACACACTCTTATCCTCCAAAAGGAAATAATAAAGCAAGCAAGAAGAGAAAAATTCAGGTATGGTAACTGCTATGGAATACTTATTTATATAAAAGAAGAAAAAGAAAAGAAAGGTAACTGTTGCAACCAGCTGGACAATGCGTTTGTAATATCTTTTGAATCTGATGTGATTTGTGGCTAATTGGACACAAGAATGATGTGAGAAACTATTTCCCCTTGCAAAACCGATGTTTTTGTCATCAGGGGAAAAAGGATTACACTTTGTTTAGGGCTCTGCTTCTCGTGGTTAGTCCGTGTGGTAAGTAAGTTGAAGCAGTAGTTCTACTATTTTGAACTGATATATCTTAGGCATTCTAGTGGCTAATAGGCCTCTGGCCTCTCATGTGTATGATCTTGCAATTATTTTCAGGAACCATGTTTGGTAAATGTTCCCTAAAAGCTATGCTTTATTAGGTCCATTGTGATAATAAATGTGACGCCCTTAAAATCGGGGTCCTTTATTAACCATTGATCTGCCATCAACCCGCAAAAGAACCTGTGATTGTCGCATAACCCGACATCACGTCAATAGCATTCCCTTAATCGGGATCATAATNATTTTCAGGAACCATGTTTGGTAAATGTTCCCTAAAAGCTATGCTTTATTAGGTCCATTGTGATAATAAATGTGACGCCCTTAAAATCGGGGTCCTTTATTAACTCACACGGGTAACCATCATACACTTTATTACTTACTAATCCTTGGTCCTTTATACATCAATTTAGAGTCATTAATATTCCATATAACCTCTTTGAGTATAAGGAATCGATGCCTGAAGACTTAGTAAAACATTTAAAAATTTGAAGTTTAAAGAAAATCTATCGGTAGAAGTGGTCAAAGTTCTGCAAGTAGAAGTTGTGCACTGGACTTCAATTTTTAGGAAATCTGTGAAAACCTATCGGTAGAAGAACTCCCTATTCTACTGATAGAAATAGTCTACTGAAATTCTTCTACCGGTAGAAACAGTGACGTTCTACTGGTAAGAGAACCCTACGAGAAAAGTTCTACCAGCTAAACCTACCGGTAGAAGAACCAAAAGTTCTANGGTAGAAGTGGTCAAAGTTCTGCAAGTAGAAGTTGTGCACTGGACTTCAATTTTTAGGAAATCTGTGAAAACCTATCGGTAGAAGAACTCCCTATTCTACTGATAGAAATAGTCTATTGAAATTCTTCTACCGGTAGAAACAGTGACGTTCTACTAGTAAGAGAACCCTACGAGAAAAGTTCTACCGGCTAAACCTACCGGTAGAAGAACCAAAAGTTCTACCAGTAGGTGTGCCCAGTTTTGCCCATTTTATCCATTTTCAATTTTCAATCCATTCCAATTCATCCCATATCAATCCGAGCACATATATCATGAAGTTTACATTCAAAACAGTTCATATGAGTTCGATACTATCCTTTACATACAATTAATGTCCCAAAAATTAAATAATATCTTTGTTTTACAAAAATATGATTTAAAGTCACAGTTCGGCTCTTCTTCATCAATGAGGGTCTGAGTGAGAGTCATCCACCGACATATATCCCGTACCTGAAATGCTATCTCTATAAAGGGTGAGCCACGCTCAATAAGGTATCAACTAAAGAGGCTATTCCTCAACCTAAATGCATAGGAAATGTTCGCATGCAAATTCAACAAGTAATAATCATCTATTCAACAATATGCAATTTAATGATGGATCTTTTATGCGACGTCATGTTATGAGATGAGACTCACACATACAACTCAACCCGAACCTTTACCGATTCCCATCACCCATGCAATGCCATGAGCATTCCAAGTCTTCGACATTGATGTTGTACATCCAACGACCTTTTTTTAAAAATAAATCATGTGTCTTTGTTGGGTAACGAAATTTTGATGTCTCACCGCTGGTTTTGCACACAGATACACTTTTTGGACTTTTACCGGCGGAAATGTATAAACCAATAACCGGGTCTTGCACGTGAGAGAGTATTTAGCCCTTCTTTCTATACCCGACATAAGTTTTTCATGCAACTGTACGATTCTGTTGAACCTTGATCCGACTGTACCGAGCTCACTTATCAACTATCAAGAATGGTGTTTGATTTAATAACATGCACACACAGCCACACTCATGTTAAATGCTCACGAATACGATGTTTCTCGTGTTTATATAAATGTATATGTACAATTTGTATTTATCATCATTATGCAACTAAGATCTCAATTCCAATTTTAACGTGTTTCATATGTCATGTGCACAATATGAACATTTTAATGACTATCAATAATTACAATGTCAATATATCATATGCATGTACCAACATCAATTTCAAGCATGTTATTCCATAATCTATGTCAATAACATACTTAATTCACAAAGGCACAATATAAACACATATCATGTCCACATAACACCATTTTCTAAGAAATTATAAACTAACAATTTTTACACACCAATTGAAGCTAGAATTATTTTTCACCCATTTTCAATACCCATTTCATTAATTTAACAACAATAAGCAAGTGTTATACATCTCTAAAAATCTATCCATTCTATATCAAAAGCTTAGGTTGGAAGTGAACCTAGTTAGAGAGAAAATCCTACCTCTTGAAGCGTAAAACAAGATTGTAGAACCTTCAAGAATACCAACCAATATCAATCCCTTTGATTTTTTAAAATTTCGTCTCAAAAATTTTCATGAAATTCGTATTTTTTTTGTACGTAGGCGTAGTCCTCGTCACGTAGATCAACTTTAATACTTGGTCCGAAGGATTTCAACCAAAGGAACTCCGTAGATCGTAGGGAGAAGTTGGAGTTATNGACAGAGAGGAATTGTCCTCTTTCTAGGGTTTTCTTGTTAATGAACTAGTTTGGGGTGTGCTGTGATATGTCTATGGTCAGTTGGAGGTGTAGGAGCTTTGCCAAGGGGATGTTTGTTAAGTTGTACCTATTGGGATAGGATTGCTTAAGATAGATCAATCCAAAACCATCCGGTTGAGTTTTTGGGATAGGAATATAACATCATTCATATGTCATCTTTTCCATGATGTGATTGATTTTGACGAGAAAGCTTTTTGTCCAATGCACTGTTCGATTCAATGCCTGCCTATCAATAATTTTGGATCCTAATCCAACCTATGCAAAGTGGCGCCAATTTAAATCCACCCTCTTGGTGGGTTTAAATAAAGCCACAAGTGGTGTTAAATCCACTGCCACTTCAGACCGCGAGAGGGCTGACTTTTTCAATCCAACCTGTTAAAGCGTGATCCAAACCAAAGTTTAGTGGTTCCCACCAAAAAAATTTACCCAATCTTACCCATTAATCCACCCATCTCTGGCAAACCAAACATCCCCTAAGACTCTTACTCAATGCCCCTATTGGAAGATTAGATTGTTATGATTTTGCAATTGAAAATTGTCTGCCTCATTATATTACTACTAGGCCCATGAGCATGATGTTGGGTAAAGATAGAACTTAATATCATTAAGATGCCTATTGAAGCTTTTAATGCTCAGGATTTGTTTATCATTACTGGTGCTAATGCTGTTATTAGTGCATTTTTATTTTTGCATACTTGTCAACACTAGAAACAATATATGTATATCAATTAGAGTGACTTGGTTGCTTGAAGTTTGAGTAGGAGCCCTACGCTCAACTAAGCCCAAACTTGGAAACACTTTCCAGTTGCCTACTCCAATTTTTGGAGAAATTGACCAGGTGTTTCCTTGTCTATATACTTGTTAATCAAGTGATATCAAATCGGTATTGGTGCAACTACCTGAATGTTACTCAATATTAAAATGAAAGATGATATGCTCTACAAATCAGGTGGGCAACTTGGTTAACATACTGAAGAGACTCTGGAAAAAAAAAAAATTAAAATCATGTTTGGATGGTTTGTGTTTGTTCTCTATTTACTGGGAAAGATTTCCTGATGTTCTTGAGTAAGAACTTCATATTGCAACAATTCATATTACATATATTATATATATATTGTACACAAATGTTAAATCGTATACAACAAATCAAATATTCTGTTTCTTGCATTGATATAACTAAAATAGTATTGGTTTTTGAAATTGGATAGTTCTACCTTGGTTTCAACCCCAAACCAACATGAACAAAATGGCCTGCAGAAAATCATATTTTTTTGTTTCCAGGTTGAACCAGACCTAGTGACTCCGAAGAGTAAGATGTTTTAATGGTAATCTTAATCCACTTGTTTTTTAGAACAAGTGAATTGCCACTTAAGGTGTTTGGTACTTAGATTGCTAGGTACAAGGATCAACATTTCGTTTTGGTGTATTATTTCATCACCTATGAAACATATCATTTTGAAAATATTTTAAAAACGTTTGGGAAACAGAATGAAAACTGAAAAAAATTAGAATCTATTTCAAAAAAAATCAAAAACATAGATCGAAATATACTGAACATCTTGACATACCTCAAAACAGTCCGGAACATTAATGGAAACATTGCAAAACATCTTGAAAAATCTTGAAATGAAACATTTCGAAATACCTTGTATTGGAATTTCGATTCGTTTTGGTCTTATTGGAAATGGAAATGTTTCGACCATTTTGATACAAAATTTTGATCCTTGGCTAGGTACTAGTGATCCAATACTGGATGTTAAAAGCTACTGATATTTGGTGGGATGCTTAAAGTTCTTTATTGCATTTTGCAAAAGGAATATTTCCGAGTATTTTGGTGATGCCATACATGGAATGATCTATCTGAATTCTCTGTGTTTTCCTTTGCTTCCTATGACTCGGGTATCTATGCAGGTCCGCAAAATTTTCATAAACTACATACAACGGTCCCGAGCAACTGGTAGCCGTACTGAGGCTGCAAAAGAACTTAAGAAAATGATAGCTTTCAACAGCTTGGTTGTAACAGAATTAATAGCCGACATTAAGGGAGAATCATCAGAAGACGTGTCAGAAGAGCTTGTTAAGGAGGAAGAAAAACAAATAGATGAGGATGAGGAATGGGAAACCTTGCAATCACTTCGAAAAGTACGACCCAGCAAAGAAAAATTGGGAAAGCGAAGCCAGTCAGAAATAAATCTCAAAGATGACCTCCCAGATAGAGATAGGACTGACCTCTACAAGACATATTTGCTATTTTGTTTAACTGGAGAAGTCACCAGGATTCCATTTGGTGCTCAAATCACCACAAAGAAGGATGATTCCGAGTATGTCCTGCTAAACCAGTTGGGTGGCATCCTTGGTTTGTCCGACAAGGAAATTGTGGAAGTACATAGAAGCTTAGCCGAGCAGGCTTTCAGGCAACAAGCTGAGGTGATTTTAGCTGACGGACAACTAACAAAAGCCAGGATTGAGCAGCTCAATGAATTGCAGAAACAAGTTGGCTTGCCATCCCAATATTCTCAAAAGATAATAAAGAGCATAACAACTACAAAAATGGCAGCAGCCCTAGAAACAGCAGTTGGTCAAGGAAGGCTTAGCATAAAGGAGATCAGAGAACTTAAAGAAGCTGGAGTCGACTTAGACTCTATGATCTCCCAGAGCTTACGTGAGAACCTCTTCAAGAAAACTGTAGACGAGATCTTCTCATCCGGTACTGGAGAGTTTGATGAAGAGGAAGTATATCAGAAAATCCCACATGATCTCAACATCAAAGCTGAGAAGGCTGCAGGAATTGTTCACGAGCTTGGACGAAGCAGACTATCAAACTCACTGATTCAGGCTGTGGCATTGCTAAGGCAGAGAAACAATACAGGGGTGGTATGGACTTTCTCTCATCTTGTTCACTTGTAGTGAAAAATTCCAAGCTGTAATTCTATTTTCTTCTTGTTGCTCTTGTAGGTCTCCTCACTCAATGACTTGTTAGCATGTGACAAGGCTGTTCCTGCAACACCATTATCATGGGAGGTACCAGAGGAGCTAGCCGATCTTTTTGTTATATACCTGAAGAGTGACCCAACACCTGAGAAACTCTCGAGATTACAATATCTATTGGACATAAGCGATTCAACAGCAGAAACTTTGAGAGCTATGAAAGATAGAGCTGTGTCGAATGCAGCCGAAGAGGAAAAGTTTGTATTTTAAATTTAGTTACCATGTTATAGGCACCCGGCAAATGGCTTGCCACATCCTGGTTGAGTTATTCAAATTTTGAGTGAAAAATCACATTGTTAAATATTTAGGAATGGGGCATTAAGATTTGGGGGTGTAGATATGCACGTTTGGATCTACATTTAAGGGTTGGGAATGCTTATTCCATTTGGATTAATGCTAATGGTAGAGTACCTTTTTCTTTATGACACATCTGAGTATTGGTAGGACTGTTAATCAAACCGAGTTATTCAAGCTTATTTCGTTGAAGTTAAAATTAAGATAAATAATAATAGGTGTCAAATAATTAATTCAAATTTTAATTATTATTTTATTTTATAAAATTTTAAATGCTTAATTTGTCATTTATTTAAGAATTTATTTTTATTTTATTAACTAGATTGATTAGATCATTTATAATATTATTATATTATTGCATACTAGTATATATATATATTTGAGTATTTGACCATGAAACTCTAGTAATTATAAGTGTATAATGATTTAACATGTATAGGACTTTATTTTTACATATAGATATAGAATATTATATATAACTGTATTATTAATAAATGAATACAAAAAAAATAAAAAGTTCTTATAAAAGAGTTCAAAACAAGTTAAAAGTTAAATAGGAGTAAAAAAATTAAAATTAAATGAAAGTATATAAATGAGAATAATTGAATTTATCATTAAGAGATAAATAGAAAATAATTTTTTTTACAAATGTTGAAATTTATAAATGGTATAGATATAGATTTGTTTTATGATAACAACAATTTTGTTAGGGTAAATCTCTTAAATGCTCCTTAATTATAACCTTTATTTTAAATTTTATTCCCAGATTTTTTAATTGTACTATTTTTTCTTATTTAATGATTAGTCTTAATAGAATGATTCAATTAAAATAACTTTACATAGTTCAAACGACAAATTGAGATAATTAAATATTCACGGACAATTTTTAAAAAAAACACATAATAGTTAAAGGTTTGGGCGATTTACAATTTAATTTGTACTCTCAAAAATTAAATTTATTACATTGTATCCTTAATGTATTAAAAATGTTGTAATGTGTGGTCCTTTTGTTAGCTTTCTATTAGTTTTTTCCTCAGTGTTAATAGAGTGACTTTTGACAGAAAAAATAACGGAAGTTAATAGAAATGTCTCATTACAATATTTTTAATATATTAAGGGTACAATGTGAGAAATTTAATCTTAATGAGTACAAACTGAGAATTTTAAATTTTTTAGGGTACAAAGTGGAAAAAGTCCTACNAAATTTAATCTTAATGAGTACAAACTGAGAATTTTAAATTTTTTAGGGTACAAAGTGAAAAAGTCCTAAAGATTTACTGTACAGTAACAATTGATAAGACGTCCTTTCAAAGACAAAACTTTCATTTGTGTTCCCCAGTTTTCATCTTCTTGTTCTTCAATGATTTGTTTCTTTATTTTCTGTTCAATGTTTGAGGAATTCCTTACAACGTGATAGTTTAATAATATTAGTAATGTTACGTTGACTAAAAAAATAGACTTGATAGTCATAATTATTGAATAAGTAATAGATTATAATATAAGTTAGAACCCACAGTAAAATTAATTATTATAATTAGGGAGAATTATACTCAAATTCTTTAAGGTTTATCACTTAATTACTTACATTTCTTGATATATAAAATAGTACACACAGACTCCTTAATGTTTATACGCACGTAACACTTAAACCCCTGTCGTCAATGTCCTTAAAAATATCTATTAGTAAATTATACTCGAACTCCATAAAATTTATAAACGTTTAATATTTAGACTCCTCAAATTTAAAGTGTTATACCAAAAATAATCAAATTAAAGATAAAATATCAAATATTTTAAATTTTATAACTAAAATTCATATTTTATTATGTTATTTATTAAATAAAATCAAAATAAAAATTTAATTTTTTCTTAAAAAATCATAATTAGTATAATGTATATACTATCTATTAAATGACCAAACTATCCCAATTAAAAATACAAGATATTGTGTTAATTATAGTTTGACCTATTGTATATTTTTTTTTGTTTTATTTCAATAGATAGTGTAATTATATACAAATTATGATTTTTTTTTAAAAAAATTAAATTTTTATTTTTGATTTTATATCAATAAATTACATAATATAACATGAAATTTGATTATAAAATTTAAAATATTTGATATTCTATCTTTTATCTAAATATAACATTTTAAAATTGAAGGGTCTAAATATATCTATTTAATGTCTAAACTATCTCAATTAAAGGTCGAAGATATTGTGTCAATTATAATTTGACCCCTTGTTTTTTTTTATTTTTTAATTTTATTCTAATAGATAGTATTATTCATAGTTTTAAAACTTAGCCCGGACATCAACCCGGAGAAGGGACCGGGTCAACGGGTTTCTGGTTCAATTACTGGGTCACTGGTCGAACCGGTGATATAATAAAAAAATAAAAAATAATTATTAATGATGATAAATAGACTAAAAAATTAAAATAGTTATAAAAATAACATGTTTAATATATATTAAATCAAACAAAGTTATCAAGCCTGAATCACTTAATTGTATTCAATTAACAAACCAATGCATTCAATTAACAGTCCAACCTCCACCCTCAAACTTGAATCACTTAATTGCATTCACTTAATTTTTGAGTTAACAAACACTTAAAAATTATCAAACCAATACATTCAATTCCAATACAATTTGCCTAATCTGCTATTAATCAAATCAAATATTCACTTAATTGCATTGTTCTTGAAATCAACTTCATAAGAATTCATACAAATCAAGTCTCAAGAGAAAGGCATAACAACACGAAGCAAAAACAAAAACAATCAGTATCATTGCAAAACCATCAACGTGAAACAAAAGCAAAAACTAGCACTAGCAACAACCACCATGGAGGATAGCACAAACAGAAAGCAAAAACCAGATCCCAGAGCAAATATATATATATATATATATATAGAGAGAGAGAGAGAGAGAGAGGTATCTATTGTTATGTCTTAGAAAATGAAATTCGTAAAGTTCGAGTGAGCAAGCCAACCACATCGCAAAGAGAGAGAGGACTGAATCGGAGTAAGAGGCTGAGAGTAATCAAACCTTAAAATCCAACGATGAGGCAGAGAGGAGGACGAGAGGCAGAGAGGAAGAGGAAGAGGAAGAGGAAGATGAGAGGCAGAGGCAAAGGCTCACAACGACAAAGATCAAATTAGGGCAAATGAATCGCGCTGCTCGTGGAGGGTGGAGGCTGCTCGTGGATCGCTGGTGGAGGGTGGAGACTATTGTGGTGCTGTTGGAGGATGGAGGCTGGGCTGTGGAGTGTGGACACTAAATGAATGATTTAGGATTTAGGGCAAAACAGAAGGGGAAAAGAAAAAAAAACAAAAATGTAAAAAAAAGACATATTTATACTAAAGGAACAAAACCGGCCAGTTTTATAAACCCGTCCTGTTTTCACGGGTTACCGATTTTTTGACCGGTTTACCGGTTTTATTCCGAGTTCTTTGTTCAAACTATCCAATTACAAACCGGCCCGGTTAGGGGACCGGTTCATCGAGTCACCAAGTCAACCCGCCGGGCCGGGCCAGATTTTAAAATACTGGTATTATTATTTACAAACTATATTTTAAAAAAAAAAATAAATAGCACGAATACAAACTTTAGTGGATTACATGCATACAAGTTTTAGTGAGTTTGTGTGTAATTTATTAATGGATATTGTAACTGACATTGTTGACAAGAGTTTAAATGTTACACATGTACAAATTTTTAGAAAATTTATGTATAATATTTCAAATGTTAAAGATCAAAGTGATTGAATGATAAACCTTATAAGGTTTAAGTAAAATTCTCCCTTGTAACTATCAAGTGTATTGTTCATGGGTAGATGTAGCATTGCTCTAACAATATATCAATCATTTGTAAATCAAATTAATTAAACTTGATTGAACGTCACGGCAGGTTAGAGCCTTGATATGTTCTTCCATTTAATGTGATTAATCATTACCATCAAGGACTGAACCACCATGGGCCCACTCATGTTTAATTTTGGCAACATTAGGGCTGTTAGGTTATCATATGTAAAATAATTTTTTATTCTTAAAATTTTAAAAACACCTAAACCTATTTATTTAGTATTTTTATTTTCAAAATTTTTTAAAAAAATGAGATTTGGAACAAAAAACATAAAACAACTAAAACTTGTTTTTACAGTTTTTTTTGAAAATTTTGAAAATACGGAGACTAGCTAAACAAGTTAAATGAGGTCTGTCATTCGAAATTCCTTAACAGCAAAACGTCTTTTTTCTTCTTTTCTTTTTTTTCCTCTTCCTCCCTCCACTTTGCCTAGGATCTTCCTCTTCCTCTCTCCACTTTTCTATTTTAATTATTCACTTTTTTAATACGCACTCCAACAAATTTTCTATATTTTTAATTACTTATTTTAAATATTATTTCTTATTCCTTTTATATTATTTTTTTTGAAAATAATGAAAGAGAGAGAAATAGAATGAAAGAGAAAAAAAAAATATAAATTATGTTCACAAATTGTTATAGTGATACTCTATATTTAGAGTATCATTGCAACAAAAATCTATTTTAGAGTATCAGAAGAGCATCTGTTGGAATATAATTTTTTACTTTGGTTAGCTAAATTTTAATTATTTTTGTGTTTTACAACATCTTTATGAGATGCTCTTATATCACTAATACCAATAATCAATCAGATTCTTATAGTGTTTCTCTTTATTGCATTAAAAAATTTGCTAGTTTTTATATTTATAAGCCACTAGAATTGTGGTCTAGTGGGAAAGTCGATTAAACTTCCGAAGAAATTACCTCCCAACAAAGCCAAACCTAGTCTTTTTTGGGAGGTAATTTTCGTTCGGAGAGTGTCACATATATCAGTCTCTCAATATGTGCGACGGTCAATCAGGACTCTCACATTTGGTAGGGGGAGTGGAGTCTACACCCAAGTCAACGGAGGCTTGTCCTACTAATCAAGTTATATCGATATCCAGGAGAGTGGTTCCAAATAATTATTAAATTTCAAATTGACAACATATAAATTTATGACTCCCCCTTGTCTCCTCCTGTAGAAAAGTCGCCGTGGGTGAAAGTCTTAAAAACCAGCCAAAAGTAATAATGGGTTCTAGACTTGAGCACGACATA